GGTATACAATGGTGTACAAGTAGTACACATAAATAAAATGAGAACATCAATATAGTCGAAGTCAATTAAATACGCATTATTAAGGATAACTCAAAAACTTCTGGTCAGATCTTGATCAAATTTATATGGGATCCCACATGAGAAGCACCAGCTTTCAAATTAAAAAGGAATCATCAAAATTGGTACACCAAGAAAAAAGTTTTGAGGTAAAACACATAAAAAATACAGTTGAATTAAGAACCACCTCCTTTCTTGAAGTCGGTTGGAAACTACGAATTATTATATTCGCCGTTTTCACGACTCGTTCTCCGTAGACGTGAAGATGATATGACTGGATAAGAATATTTTTAGTGGCAAACGAGCTATAAGCCAGCTATATATAGAGCCCGCATAATGGTAACTGGCACCTACCATGGATATCTGCAAGCAGCTTCAAAGAAAGCCACTGATGCGTTGTCAACCCTAATTCCTAAGCAAAAGAGCCCTGCCACCCCGTGTAGTAAGTAATGAATATGAATTGAAAGTTCGATGGGAAAAAAACAAAGCTGAATAAAACTATTACTACTATTAACAAACGAGCGCACAGTCCACCAGATGGTAAGTGGACACTGTGGCCCATAGACATCTACATCTTACCTCGATTAAGTATCAAAATACATATGTGTTGTCAACCCTGAGGACTAAAATGGAATGACTTGTTCAGCAAAAGGGAATCCGTTTTTCTACACTCACCATACGATAATACGACGCTACAGCTGTATTATGGCTGTAGCTTAATAAATGAATCAACTCTGAAAGTCAAATGTGAAAGACGCCTGATACTGCGATAGTAAAAACAAAAGTGACTAAGAAACTCTCGCAGCTCTACTGTATATGTGATAGAGGCACGCTACAGCTGTATTATGAACGTAGCATGAATGGGTCGATTCCACCTGAGAAGGATCACTTTTTGAAATAGCAGCAGCGTTAAAACTTTTGTACATGATAGAGCCATGTTGCAGCTGTAGCTGCATGATGATATATTATGTACGTTTTTTTTTTTATAGGATAGGGTGACAAACGAGCACACAGTCCACCTGATGGTAAGTGGTTGCGCTGTGGCCCATAGACATCTACATCTATCTTCCATTACAAATCAAAATGCAGATGCGTTGTCACCCGTGAGGACTGAGATGGAATGCCTCATTTCCAGTAAAAAGGGTCTCCGGCTCTCTACACTCACCATACGAAATACAGCAGCATTAAGCTACTATTTCACGCTGGTATTCTGTGAGAGCGTGGTCCTTCCCCGGTCGAGCCGACCCATTCGTGCTCACAACTATACTAGCCTAATATAATTGCAGCATGGCTCTACCACGTATGTAACATTAATGAATCGATTTAACCGGGGAAGAACCACGGTCTCACAGAATATCAGCGTAAAATAGCAGCTTAATGTTGCTGTGTTTCGTATGGTGAGTGTAGATAACCGGAGACCCTTTTAACTGGAAACGAGGCATTCCATCTTAGCCCTCACGGATGACAACGCATCTGCATTTTGATTCGTAATCGAGGATAGATTTAGAAGTCTATGGGTCACAGTAACCACTTGCCATCAGGTGGACTGTATGCTCGTTTTTCACCCTTATTCTATAAAAATGTGATACTCTCACTTCTAAAGAGCATTAAGCTGTTATATTAGCGTGGTCCTTTCCCTGGTCGAGCCGATCAACTCGTGATACAACAATAATATAGCTGCAACGTGGCTCTAACAGGTTTAAAAATACACGTGCAATGTAAGTGTGTGTAAGTTTGTGCAGTATATAAAGTCAGTTTACACGAAGCGTGTGCATGTGACGTATATACTATATAGTGACGACGCGCTGTGAACGAACACTTGTATCAATAAACGTAAGCTACATTTTAGCAGACATCGAAATGGTACTGGGTCTCAATTCAACTGTATGATTGAATTAGAATGTACCGAGATATCATTATCAATGTTTACCAGATTTTGATGATTCTATTCATCCATATAAATTTGGAGAGTAATCTTCCTCTCCTAAGGGTGCAAAAAATCCACTTGAAAGGTAAAAAATTAAACATTTAATCAAAAGTATAAGTCGACCTAAAAGACCACAAAGAATAAAGTTATTTTCAAGTGATTGACACTGAAGTTCAGGCTTTATTTCTTCTATACGCAATGTCTTAGCGGCAGCTTCAAAAGCTATAAAGGTAGAATTCATTTTATGTTTTTTAGTTCGTTGGGGGACATTTTATTAGGATTATTTTTTGTCATTTTTTTATCCAACACATTGATCGAAAAAAAGAATGCAACATCCTAAGTGCAAAAACAGTTTATATTTGTTTATTTATTTTATATTATTTATTGCACACCGTACAAAAATTATTTGATTGGGCGGTCTTATTGCTTATAGCAATTTATATTACAAACTGTTCATTCAGCAACTTAGTATAACTTACTATGAAAAAAAAACTTAAAACGGTTCTTAAATAGTTTGTTTAAAAAAAAAAGGGGTTTTCATGCTCGTAAAAGAAAACGAAGCGTTTTTAATATAGAAACCCGACATAAGTCAGTAAGCATCTCGCCAATATCGGCAATTACGGCACTAACCACACACTTTTTTTTTGGAGTTTATGGCCTGCCCTGGCCTATCTAGATCCTTAGATCAACTAATCACACACTGCTGTTGCGTAATGTTGCCGTAGAAACTACCACTAAGTTTCGTTCCTTCATCATCATCTACAGCTCTTCACAAGTCCATTTCTGAATATTGCCCGTCCCACAAAAGTGCCACAAAACACGGTTCCGCACTGTCGTCATTCCATCTAGGGGGGGGGGGATGCCTCTCTACGCTTTGCTTAGCAGTACTTACGATAATGCCACTCAATTGTTATAAAGATTCTTAAAGCACCCGAAAGATGGCGTTGTAATTATTCCATTAATTGCCAGGTAATTTTCATTGCATTCACTTGTTCTCTAGCTAGGTGACGGGCATTGCGAACGAAGTGGACAGTCTCAAACTAACAATCTTAGCCTTGGGTTTATTTCAATTTAATTCTTGTAACATGACACATTTAAAAGGAAGTTCCCAATATTTCATAAGTGGGTGACAGAATCGGCAAGGGACGCTTTAAACGGAAACTTATGGACCAAATTAGCGATATATTGAAGATGGGCCAAATTAATAGTACACTTAACCGACAAGCATGTTAAAAGTTAATTCTCCACGATGTTTTTTCTTCACCGCCGAGCACGTGGTAAATCAGCACTTAAAATTGCAATTAACAATTTCATTGGTGCCGGCGGGGATCGAACCCGGATTGCTCGCGTACAGTGAAACTTACAGCGAACGCTAACCATCTGAGTTACCACAGCATGTTTTTATATAATATACTGGATGACCTTTTTTAGCGTCTGCAAAAAAATAGTATGTAACATGTGTACGGTTTTTGATGAACGAAAATTTTTCTTTACATATTTTATAAAATATCAGTACCAAGGGCTTCTATTTCGTTCGCCTGTTACTATTTTTTTCCAGATCTGTTACTTTTTTTGCCCTATTTTTTCCATACGGTAAAAAAATCACGCAGTATTTATGGATATGACAGAAGCGTGAGAAAGAATCGTGTCAAAATTGTGCCAATTAACAGTCCGTATGTGCTTTTGATTTTCCAAGAGCAATACTATAAAGAATTTGTTTCATTTATATTTATAACAGAAACTCTAATCTAAAGAGCATTGAAATAATAAAATTAAATTTAAACAACTGAAACAAAAACAAATAGGTCGTAAAATTCGTGTATGCGACATTATCAATAATTGAATTTCAATGGTTAGCAAAGCGATAAACTCAACTCAATTTAACCTATTGCTCACTGTACTAAAAAAATTTCATAATCTAGAAAAATAATACATAATGATTTAGTCGGAAATTAATTTCAGAATAAAAATTAAAAAAAAAAAACCAAATGTATGCTTTGTATATTTAGTATATCGAACTTCACATAACCTATACTGTGGTTGCGTCAGAAATGAGTCGGCTCGAACGGGGACGGTCCAAGGTTGGTAAGTGTAGAAAACCGAACTCTTTTACTGGTAAAGACTCAAACAATCTTAGTCCTCAGGGGTGACAACGTATCTACATTTCGATTCTTAATCGAAGATACGCGTAGGCGGTGACTTCAAGCCACAGCATCTATTTACCATCAGTTGGATTGTGTGCTCGTTTGTTTTTCTATATAAAAAACTTGAAAATTCATAACCTTATGTAGGGTAGGCGAATTTTGTGCGATCAGTATCTTTTTTCAAGATCTGCAAGATCTGAATCTTGCAAAATCAGTATCTTCGCGTCCAGTATGTTCTATTTCAATTAAAGTTTTACGTGATTACCGAGGCACGAGTGTGAAACACCGCCAACCTCCTGACTCTAGGCAACCATTGAAAATATCTCGACAGAAAAATTCAACAATTTTTTTTGTTTGATCCGGGATTTGAACCCGGGACCTTATCATCACCAGTTTGGATTACGACCACTAGACCACTGAGCCAGTCGTAGCAAGAGTACCCTAGACAGGAGGGCTTTCACTTCGCCTGGGCTTCCTAAGTCCAAATTCCACAGCATTCGGTCAGAATGCGCTGCCGACTCCAAAAATAAACATGTACCTCGTTTAGAAGTACTGTCCAGTCATGACTGACCGAATTTATTAATCTCATAAAGCGATTTAAATCATCGAATAAGAAGACTGTTACCGTCCACATAGCTTGTATGCTTGGACAACTACTGTGCGATTTACTAGGAGTTTTTTTCCTAGCACTTTGTGGAATCGATTACCACTGGCGATTATTCCGGACCGATACTACTTCGGGACCTTCAAGATACAAGCTTACTCCTTTTAAAATTCCGGCAACGTTCCTGCAATTCTCCTGATCTTGCAGTTGTTCATCCTCCCCCCCTCTTCTGAATTTCTAAAATCTAACCTCTTTAATTTGAACTAACCTCATTCCCGTACGCTAGTAGATGATGAACGGTGATTAGAGCTTTGTACACCACTACCCAATTGGTGTTCTGCGTGCGCTCCACCAGGAGATTCGCCAGCTGCGGTATGGACACGTTGGGCTCGTTTGTGCAGTGGACTAGATCTGGAAGAGAGGAGAAGGATTAACCAAGTTTGTTCTAGAGCTTTAAATACAAAAGCAGTAACGTCATGAAAGTGCCTAAGTCTCTCGGTCTGTACCATTTACTTGGTTTTTGGACAAACGAGCACAAAGTCCACCTGATGTTAGGTGGATGCTGTAGCCCATAGACATCTACATTTATTTTCAATTAAAAATCCAACTGCAGATGCGTTGCCACTTGACTGAGATCGTTCGCCTCGTTTTAAGAGAAAAGGGTCTCTGGTTCTCTAAACTCATCATACGAAACACAGCACCATTAAGCTGCTATTTTACGCTGGTATTGTGTGGAGGTCAAGCCGACCCATTCGTGCTGCAACCACAATATAGCCGCAGCACGGTTCTACCACGTAAAATGAATGGATCGACTCGACTGGAGCAGGATCACTTTTAGAAATAGCTGCATAAAATAGCACCGTAATGCGGTTGATTTTAGAGGGTTGGTAGCGCATTGACATTTTGATTCTTAATAAGACAGATTTAGTTATATACGGGCCACTGCATAAACTAATCAAGTCCTTTAGAGCAAATTTCGGTCACGTCGACCAGTCTCAACGGAGATTAACCATCTGCGCAGGACTGGATTATACTGTGTATTTGTGTGCTAGCACAGGTTTCACCTCATACTTAAAGCCCGATGGGCAATCCGACACAAACGTGGAGTGGTCAGGCGCAAGATTGGGCTCGTGTACTTTCCGAGGCACGAGGGTGAAGCTCCGCCAACGTTCACTCTGGCCTGCTACTAAGAATTTCTTCACAGGAAACTCCAATCATTAATTTTTACGAGATCAGGAATTCGAACCCGGGACCACATTCACGCTTACTACGAGCACTAGAACGAGGCAGTCATGAACACTAAACATTAGATGAACTGCATGTTCGTTTGTCACCATTACTTGTACAAAAACCCGTTGGCACCCCGCACGGGCACCACATGGACATAGTCGGAGGCAAAACTAGTTGTTACATGCAATGTGTAAAGAATGTGAAGACACGGATGTATTTGAATGTCATAGAACACATGGAACTTGTTTATAAATTTATATGTCCTTGTTTTTTTGTTGCAAATACCTCCTAAATAAAACACAAAAAATTACTACAAATAGCAACAGTATTGTTTTGTATAATTTATAGGTATGGGTGGAGAAGTAAACAGCGGCTTTAATTGGGTATTTGAAATTTCAATCAGTTATAATACTTTTAAAGAGTTCTCAAAATAAATATTTCTACAGAAATTGTAGGAGAATATAGCGTAATGACGTCATAGACATTTGTTATATCTGTTTCTATTAAACAATTTACGTACACACATATTGTTACAAAGTTGCAAATAAAAAGAGATTTTTGTAATATTCATTTTATTTATTTTGAGCTTGCACGTAGATAGCCTCATAGGTGGATTTATTCCATAGTTTGAAAACACAGTTTATCATTATTTTGAGCCATAATCAGGAAGATCCTGCTGTCTATATCCTGTTTCATCTCCCTCAGTCACCGTCTATTGTGTTAGTTGCGACGAGTGGGTCGGCTCGACCGGGGAAGGACCACGCTCTCACAGAATTCCAGCTTAAAATAGTAGCTTAATGCTGTTGTGTTTCGTATGGTGAATGTAGAGAACGGGAGACCCTTTTTTACTGGAAACGAGACATTCTAGTATTAGTGGAAACGAGACATTCCATCAGGGACGACAACGCATCTGAGTTTTGATTCTTAATCAAGGATAATGTCTATGGGCCACAGCGTCGACTTACCATCAGGTGGACTTCGTTTTTTTATAGGATAGGGTAACAAACAAGCACACAGTCCACCTCATGGTAAGTGGATGTTGTGGCCCATAGACATCTAAATTTATCCTCGATTAAGAAACAAAATGCAAAACTTGTGAGGACTAAGATAAAATGCCTCGTTTCCGGTAAAAAGCGTCTCCAGTTCACTACACTCTCTATACGAAACACAGCAGCATTGAGGTGTTATTTCACGTTGGTATTCTGAGAGAGCGTGATCCTACCCCGGTCAAGCTGACCCATCGTGTCGTAACTATTTTTGAATTATTCAACATTTAAACATAGATTATGTAATATCACATCATAAACATCAATATTACGTTATATGTATAATTTAGTTAAATTAGAAATACAATGTAGTCGATATTTATGTGATGTAACAAACTCGCTTGCGCCAGGTGTAAAATACCCGTATTGGCGACGAGCAACGGCGTCAAATGTGGACGTCTGATACTGCGATAGTAAATCGCTACAAAAGTAGGAAACTCTCGCAGCTCTGCTATATACGTGATAGAAGCACACGACTCGACTCGACCGGAGAAGGATTACTTTTTGAAACGCAGCAGTGTTCCAGGTTTTGTACGTGTTAGAGCCATGCTGCAGCTATATTATAGTTGTAAAGCGAATGGGTCGGCTCGGCCGAGAAGGACCACGATCTTACAGAATACCAGCGTAAAATAGCAGCTTTATACTGCTGTGTTTCGTATGGTGAGTGTAGAGAACCGAAAATCCTTTTCACTAGAAATGAGACATTCCATCTTACGTCCTCAGGGGTGACAACGCATCTGCATTTTGATTCTTAATAGGGGATAGATGTATGTCTATGGGCCACAGCATCCACATATCATTAGGTGGACTGTGTGCCACTCTTATTCTATAAAAAAACTGCGATAATAAATCCGCGATGACCTCCAGCCACGACAAGATGTAGTTCATTAATGACGGCATCAACTATCTATTAGTACAGACTATTATATAACTTACAAAGATACGACTCACTAGCTTTATACGAATGGTTCGGTTCGACCGAGAAAAAGCCACACTGTTATAGAATAATACATTAAAATTGCAGCATAATTCTGTTTTGTGTGGTGGGTGAGTGTAAAGAAGAAGCGGCCGTTTTTATTGATTTCGAGAAATTTCATCTAAGGTATAAGTCATGAAAACGCATCTGCATTTTGATTTTATGGTAACAATAACAATCAGAATATGCGCTAAAATGTCACTCTTACATGTTATTTATAAAAAAAAACTTTTAGCGGCACCACTACACAAAAGCCTATAAATAAAAAATATGAAGCCAACGAATTACAGCTTCTAAATTTACAAATTATTACAATGTGAGAACTAAGCACCATCAAATACGTTTTATTTAGGTAGGTACGGTTCGGATGAAACGTCATAAGATGTAGTCCAAGGACAAGACTATCTACTTGTCTTATGAACTTGTACAAAGACAGTCATATAGCCCTCTTTTACATCTCACAGAATCGGTAACTAGCATTTGCATAACGAAATAATTGATTTCAATGGACCGCCGCGAATTTGGAAACTCTCTCTTCTCAAGGCAGTTTTGCTATCGATGTGGCTGGCTGGCTATTATAGCCGGCGCCATCGAACTTGACCCAATAAAAAATTTATAATCACCACGCGCAGCTAATTGCAATAAATAGTGTAATTATAAGTGGTAAAGCCACGCTGCAGTTATATATTATTGTTGTAGCACGAATGGGTCGGCTTGACCGGGGAAGGACTACTATCTCACAGAATACCAGCGTAAAATAGCAGCTTAATACTGCTGTTTCGTATGGTGAGTGTAGAGATCCGGAGATTCTTGTTAACTGGAAACGAGGCATTCCATCTTAGTCCTCAGGGGTGACAACGCATCTGCGTCTTGATTCGTTATCGAGAATAAATGTAGATGTCTATGGGTCACAGCATCCACTTACCATCCTTATTTACCTTATTCTATTAAAAAAAAATTAGGTAAAAAATTATTGTACATGATGTCTATGACGTCTCTATGCATTAAGGTACGGCTAAATTACATTACGTTGATAGGTAACCTGTCTTTTCTGAGAGTTTTGGATAAAACTTGAAGAATGCCTCTACTATGAGATTTCTTAGAGCTGCCAATATTTTTTTATGTTTACGCGAACACGACACATTTAATTAAAACTAATTTTTAGGAATTTTATCACATACATTAACTTAGGGGTAGTGGCTTAGGCCGTATTCCGATATACACTGTGACCACTGAAGGTGTGACGTCAATTCAGTATATTATTTACTGTGAAGCCGTTCCTTTTTAGTTTGCTATACTGGTTACTGTTTAAAGCGGAACGCAGTCCAGTACACTGTCATCCCCTTTTTTGACACTGCTATTTAAAAAAATATTTATCATGTACACGTTTAAAGTTCAACAAAAAAAATTATTTGAATGTTGTTGCTTTTAAAAATTAATGTTTGAATAACACTATTAATTAATAATAATTAATAGTGTTTTTCAAATAAACTCGGACTCGGATTTATTTCATCAAAATCGTTCGTGGAAGCTGTTAAATCTCTCGGTGTTGTTAAGTTTTTTGATCACGTGATCAAAGTACCCTTACTTCGAAAGCTCTAGTACTCACAGTGTAAATGGCGGCGATTTATGAGGTATAGATTTAATAATACATATTGATAGTCACTTTTTTATTTAACTTGCCACTGGTTCTTGGTAAAGTTTACGTTTAAAGAATTAGCATCTCGGCGAGGCTCGAACTCGGATTACTCGCGTGCATGCTATGAAACTTTAAGGTTAATTGGTAATTTAAAGTTGTCTCCCTCTTTAATTGAAATATATATATATGGTGCTTGACACGTTAAAAGGTTTTATTGTGTTATAGGTTTATAGGTCTCGAAATTAATCTGTATGTTACTTTTTATAGTGACTCCATACACTCAATATTTTTTAAAATTTTATGTTTTAAACCAGAAATCGGCAGGGGGTGCTTACTTGACAGCAGAAATAATTAAGAGGGTAGCAGAAAAGCTCTACCGGGAAATATCATTAATGCAGGCGTCACATATTGCCGAAATAAACCGTTTACAAATTAGTGGCGCGAGGCCGAACTTAATACCAATCGTCGTGTTAAGGAAAATTTATTATCAAATTGAACATAACATTGTTGCTCTCGCTCG